TCCCAAACATACAATACACAAAAACTAAGCACACACACAGATACACATACATACACAAACACAAACACACAATACAATTTTAATTCAAAATTTTAAAATTCATTTATTTAAATCCGAAACACAAAATGAAAATTTGAGATTGTGAGGATTTACGGAGATCCCATAAGAAAATCAAAACTTGTACAGACCACCGTGATACGATATGCAATTTAAAAACATATGAATACATATACTGAAGTAATCAATATAATAGATATTTAAATGTTCAGCTCTGTACATATATAAAACACACAAGCATATATGAACGAAAGAAGGATACTAAATTTATAGTCATTCATCAATATCTCCATACAAATTACATAAATCATCCTTTAAAGTGTCCAACTTAAAATTGTAGCAACTGTTAATAAACACTGACTGGGCAACATATTTTATTAAGTAAATTTAGATCAGCCATGATTAACAGAATTGTTATCCTTGGTTTTAAAAATCCAGTCTCTGACAATAGCATGACAAGGCCATATATCTGAGTTGAAAAATTTATCTTTCTGATTTTCCAGTATACAGATTCTGAAAGCAGAGCTTAAAACAGATGAGTTCTCAGAAGATTGATCAGAAGTTTTCATTGTACCATTAGGATCAACAGTAATATTAGAGGAATTATCACAAAGTTTCTTTGAATTCTCAGAAACTTTAGCAGATATGTTAGAAATTTTCTTTGAACCAGTAGGATTGACAGTAAAAAAGTCTATGTTAAAGTTAGATAGATGTTCTTCAACATCCTCTTTGGAGCAAGGAGCAATCTTTCCCAGATAGAGCACACAGCGCTTCTCAATATCTTTTAATTTGGAACTGAAAATCTCAGAGTCAGCCAAGGTTCCAACCACTCTGGAGATATTAGAGATAAGCAACACACACAAATACACATAAACATACATACCGGTTACGACACATATTTTAACACAAACAAATACAAACAAATAACATGTAACGTACGTATATAAACATACACAGACACACATACACACATGCAGACACACACATGCAGACACACACACACACACACACACACACACACACATGCCAGTTATGATATAAG